CTTATTTACACTTTCAGTTTCTCATACCAGAGACACTATTCGGTATTTACACATGTGTGTCCTATTTATTTCACTTAAGAGTATCGCCTCAATGTTCATCCACTTACCTAGAAATGTCTCTAATTTCTCATTTTTTATGGCTTTTTATTTCTTATTCCGAGGCAGGGTTTCACTGAGTCATCAGGTTGCCCAGGCTGGGCTTAAATTTGTGACCCTGCTACCTCATGCCTAGCTTGTATTCATAGCCTCTTGAGGAGACTTCAAATCATGTAAACCTAAGACCCTGCAAAGTGTGGTGCTTCTATCCTTGCTGTGCACAGGGAAGTACCTGGCTGGCTTTCCTGCTTCCTTCCCTCCTCCTGGAAGCAGTGAACCCTTTATTGCTAGGGTCTGGGACACCAAGATCATATGCCATGATGCGGGGGTGGTGAGGTGAGCTTGGGAAAGCTCCACTCTGCCGACTCAGCTTATGACACAGAAAAGAATGGCTGGGTTGTCACCGTGGAGATGGTGTGGCCTGTGTGGACAGTGGGATGAGCTGCTGTGAACGTTCCTAACACCACTCCCCACTTTGTTTCACACTGTTGGAACAGGATGAAGGGATTGGACCTGGGTGACCACAAGCAAGGCTGAAAGGGACTGTGACAGAGCCTCAGCTTGTGTTCCATCTTCGATACTCTTTGCACATGGTGTGGATTCCATACCCTCTTCCCACATTATGCTCCAGCTAACTGGTTTTGCATATGTTTTTCTTTGGTACCAGGGATCAAACTCTGGACCTTTTGCTTGCGGGGCAGGCAGTGGAACCACTGAGCTATATCCCAGGCCCCACACCCTTTTCCGAGCAGCAGCAAGACAGTGCTTGTAGGCTGCCACCCCCTTCCTTAGGTGGGACCAGCACACAGGCAATGGGCCTTTGGGGAGAGCAGAAAGTAAGACATGGTGTTAAACTCGAAGTTAGTTGCTTACCCAGATGCCATTGCAGTTGGAGTCCCGATGGGCATCCCAGTTGTCTGGCCTAAGAAAGAAACATCAGCATTGGCCTTTGGCATGAACTCACTTCAGCAGTGAACAATGGATGGATAGATGGATGGATGAGGGCTACACACCATGCCATTGAAAGGTAAGTGTTTTTCCAGCTAGCACCTCATACCTCTATGTGTAGTGCACACAGAAGCCTCTCCTTGGCCCTTTGCCTTTAGCTCAACATGGGGCATTTACTAGGAAGCCTGGATCTAACAGTCTGTCCATGGTGAGCTCTTCTCAGGGACTGCATAAGTGGGGAGGGATGCTGGTGAGCATAGTGAACACATCTGCTGTCTTATTTAGAAAGTTGGGGGATTGTTCAAATTGTGCCTCTAAAATGCCACACATCTGGTGAATTTAATGCTTCAGCACTGAAGCCACAGCGTAAGTGAAGGGTGGCATCTTCATTTTTTGAAGTCCATTTTTTTATGTGAACAGTTGAACATTAACCCAGGACTGAAGTGTGACACTCTTTCCATTCCTGGACACCCATGGTGTCCTTTACCACTATTTCCTTTACCACTACATGATGCAAAGTGATTCGCAAATCTTAGCTGCTCGATAAGCATCTCCTGGCCCAGTGAATGAATGAATGAATGAATGAATGAATGAATGTGGTTCTCTTTCACTAGCCATTGCAGCACAGAGCTCCCTTTTCTACCTGGGAATCATCTACACCTGGAAGGGAAGATGCCTCCTGCCTCCTTTGCTCATTTTCAAAGCCTGACGGTTACCTTCTGCCTGGGTACACGGTCTTGTCGCTGTCATTACAGTCTCTCCCTCGCCAGTGGTAGCCCCGCAGCGTCTGAAATTGAAGAGCACACTTGATGTGGGGATCAGGCTGGCTTTGATGTTATGAATGAAGGTTAATCAGAGCCATCTGAGGGGTACTAACCTCTGCAGTCATTAATTCAAATACAGTCTGGGAGCACGGGCCATCACTAAGAAAATGAAGATGATTATAAGCCGTGCTGTGTGCAGTGAAATGTAATCACACACCAGGACAAATAACAGGCTGGAGTGTGGGCCTGTGCGGTATTTGTGTGTGACAGTATGTGCCCGTGTGTGGGTGTGTTGGGGTGCAGGTGTGTGCGTGTGTGTACACGTGCATGTGTGTAAACAAATACATGTGTGTAAGTATGGTGCATGTGTGTTATACATGTAAACATGTACTACAGGTTGTATATGTGTCAATGTTCATGTGTGTCTATCTTCATGTGCACATGTGTTCATGCATGTGTATTAACATCCACCTCCAGACATAGCAGGACCTTCCAAATTCCTAAAATTCCTCTGTTAACCACCAATTTTCTCAAAATAATTGCTCCAAAATAATTCACTTAATGCTGGCCAAATGGTTAATGCTTTATGGGACAATTAAAAAATAATCTATTTTTTTGAAAGGCACTTCTTTTTTTTATTATTAAATTCTTTTATTGGTACATTGTAGGTATACAACACAATTACATTTCTCATTGGGAATTGTACCTTTACATAATGCATCTTGGTTCTTATTTTTTCCCCATTCCTAGCCCTCCCTTCACCCCCTCCACCCTTCCCTATTTACAAAGCCTTTATTTCCATTTTTCCATTTCTCAAAGAAGACTTACAGAGATAAGATCTAACCTGAAGAATGCTTGAAAAATTGCATAAGTAAAATTCTTACTTAATTTTAAGTTTAGATAATAGACAATACATATATGCTGTGCCGTTAGGGTAAAACCTAATGCCATTTGGTCTATTAAAGGAAAAAAGTGAGAGAGAAAAAGTTATTATAATCCAGCGAGGACAATGTATCTAAAAGTGTATCTTACTACAATTGTCTTATGTGTTGTACATATTTTTTTGGCCTAGGTTAGTCTGCTTTTTAATCTGTATTTCTAGTAATTAACTTTCTAAATTATCAATAAATAAATCTGATTCTGGCAAAAATAAAAGAGGGTGGAGGAAAGGGGAAGAAAAAGAATTGAAATGTGTTAAGTACATGTACTGATTCCCTATAATTAATGTAATCATTATGTATGGCAAAAATGTACTAATAAAAGTCAAGAAAAGAAAAAAAAATCTAGCTCAACTGATAACTATGTGAATTTATATGTTCAATCAGATTGATTTAAAAGAATAAAGAATCACAATTATGTCAAACAATGTTTTCATTTTCTCCATTACCAAGTCAATCTGAGATCCCACAATTTTGGAAGTTTGTCACACATTACCTGCTTGTTTGCTTAACTTTTTTTTTTTTTTTTGGTACTGGGGATAGAACTCGGGTCCTTCTGCTTGTGAGGCAGGTGGCAGAACCACTGAGCTAAATCTCCGGCGACCTGCTTGTTTACTTTCTCAGAAAACATCCAGACATCCGAACAGCTCCAAACCAAACACATACACATATGCATACTTTAAAAAATAATATAAAAGAGGCTTAAGGATTTCCAAAATAAATCACAAAACCTTTCAACATATTAGTAATCCCTATGGAGAATTCCAGCTGAGAATGGAAACAAAAAGGAAATAAAATCTGGGTTTAAGATTTACTTTGATGGAAGTATGTTTTGTTATGAAGCTACAAAGTCATTAAACATTGTGAAATGATGTATTTTTCCTCAAGCTAATAATGCATTCAAATGAAACTCAGTCTTGTCTTATTAAAGGAAAGTAATTTGTAGGGAGTGACATAACATTCAGTGAACATCTGGGTATTTGGAACAATACTTACTGGGAAAACACTGTATTTGTCTGAATCGACATCTTTGAACGGCATAGAAGTTTGTATAGATCTGGAAGAGAGAAAACAAAACACCCCGGTGAGCTCAGGAAAAAGGAAATGATGTTTGTAAAATCAAACACACACATTTTCAGATATGGCTGTGTTGAATTCAGGCTACAGAGGGCTCATCTAAAAATAAAGTTCAGCGTCTTCGTGCTGTGTGAGAGCGCCAGCCAAACTTGGCCAGCCTCTGCTTTCCACTTCACAGAAGTGTTTTCTCTGCTATTTAATCGGTCCATGTGGGAAGAGTGAAATAACTGAATTAGTGGAGGGCATGGGATGTTGATGTGAGGATCTCCAGCAAACGGGAGACTGTGTTGGGTCCCGGCAATGAACTCGGAATTACAAATTGAATTCATGTCCTTTTACATATTCTATTTACTCTCTAGCCATTCACTCTGGGATTCTGGAGGCATTTAGTTGTCATTAGCTGGCAACTTTGATCCCCAAGTATGAGCCTGGGTAACCACAGATCCTGATGCAATGACCAACCCAATCATCCCACTCCACGAGGGAGCATTTCCCCCGCGCCATCACTTCCAGACTCTCCCCCTTCTAAATGGCGAATGGTTTTCCAGCTAGGATGGTCTACTGCAGGGCAAGGCTCTTCCTGGAACCTGAAATTTGGAGTTAGACTCTCGGCCTTGTTTAGGATTTACTGCATGTTCTTTTGAGTCCAGGGCATCCTGAAGTGCTGAGAGTCTCAAAGCCAGTGAATGCAGCTCTCCAGAGTGGGTCAGGCTTTTAAAACCTTCTCTCTTATCTGAAGAGTAGGCCTAGGGCTTCAGGGGGCCAAGGAGGGTCTGATGCTGGCTTCAAAGGTGAGGTTTACCCATTGCCAGCCCTGTAACCTTGGGCAAATAACTTTCCTTCCTTGGAGGATGACAAAAATGATGCCTGTCTTAGTGGGTTGCGCTTACAAGAGCTCTTGGTGAATAGAAAACATTGGATAATTTTTAGTTATTATTATTACTGAGCCAGAGGTTGTTTTGAAGAATAAATGAGGCTGTATTTAAGTGAATTTTCTAAATCACAAAGCTGTGAACAAACTGTGATCCAGTGCAAATAATGCTCAGGGCACAATGATTTTGAATAAAGGAGAGAAACACACTGTTTTTGCTTTTCATTTTCATAAAAGAATAATTTCCCTCTTAAATTGGGCCAAGAAAATCCTTGGCTGCAGATGCTCTTGAATTTAATTTTTCAAAAGTGGTTCAAGTGAAGAGTTGTCATTTTGCCACGGCTGGGTTCTGCTGGCCCGTGTCTAACACAGAAAAGAAAATGCAGTGATGTGTTCACCAAAGAGGGGCAGGGGTCCTGATCCAACAGGAGCGAGGCATGATGAAATGAGTGGTCACCAGCATCTTTTCTGTCTGATTCCCTTCTCTCCGCCCTGCTCCCTGAGGCTCCTGCAACTCCCCCATTCACAAAAGGGGAAGTGCTACTCTTTCTGGGATCCAGGCCAGCAGTTTGCACAGTGAGCTGGGAGGCTCTTGCTGGCAGATGAGCCAGGAAGTCTAACTCTTGGATTCCTAAGAGGCTGCGAATGTGGGTCAGAATCACAGCTGTTTGTGCCTCTCTCTGGGTGTTTTCACAGCAGTTGAGATATTCAGTGGGTTTAGCTCCCACCAAGCTCAAGAGATGAAGGATGGTGGGATATAGAAAAAGCCTTTGGTGTGGGTTGATTTACGTTCACCAAAAGTGTTGAAGTTCTAACTCCCAGTGTCTGTGAATGTGACCTTACTTAGAAATGGGGTCTTTGCAGATATGAGCAAGTGAAGATGAGGGTATTAGGGTGGCCCTCATCCAATGTAACCGGAGTCTTTATCGAAAGAAAAGAGACACCCCGGAGAGGTGGCTGTAGGAAAAAGGGAGGCAGAGACTGGCATGATGCAGCTGCAAACCAAGAAGTGCAAGGGTTGATGGCCACCATCAGAAGCCAGGAAAACAGCAGGAAGGAGTCCACTTGGTCTTAGAGGGAGGAGCCTGGTCCTGGTGCCACCTTGATTTTAAACTTTTGGCTTCCAGAACTGAGACAACACACATTTCTATTGTTCTAATCTGCCCAGTTTACAATATTTTGTTATAGCAGCCACAGGAAGCTATTCCAGCCTCTCAGACCCAATGTGCAGATGATTCTCATTCTGCATATTCTGGGGCCTGATCTCTGCCTCCCGTGAGGCCCAGGCTGGAGCAGGTGGTGCTTAAGGAACAGGGGTTCCCACTGGAGAGTGAGAGTGAAAGAATCAGTGGCTGGGGTAGATGGTTTGGTCTAAATGATCACAGGAAGGGATTGGGGACACTGGTTTCTTCCTCTGTTCCTTTCACACTTGGTCATGGGGTGAATAGGCCCTCTCTGCTGCGTGCTCCTACCCTGACATACTGTGCCTTTGTTGGAAACAGGGTCAACTGGTAATAGACTGAAACCTGAAAACCAGTGAGTCCAAATAAACCTTTCCTCTCTTTAACTTGATTATCTCAGGTAGTTGTTACAGTCATGGAAAGGTGACTAACACAAGGGGAAAGGAGAACCTATGCAATTTTGCCTCTTTGTCCAGTGTCCTTTCAAGTCACTGTTTGTTTCTTCACATTTTGATCAGTGGTTCTGTGACATGTAGCTTAACCCTAGATGCAAAGTGGGGCTAGAAAATGGGATTTGAAACTGAGATGGGGGACTTGGGAATTTCAGACAGTGTCCTTCTATCTGGAATCCTATTCTATGTGTCTGACTCAGCATTGCCAGGTAACAGCAGATAGCAGTCTGCTGGGGTCTGTGAAGAACACAGTCCCCTTCTAACCTCCTGAGTGCCTTGCATCAAAGATGCTCAGAGTCCCCATCATAAGCTGGGGACAACTGGGTCTGGGTCTTCCATGGCAAAGGGGTGCTTTCCCCAGTGTCATACAGGGGGTGACAGGGCTGCAGAGAAAGGTCACTGGCACACTGCATCCACACTCACAGGTTCTGCCCAGTCCCGTGCATTTCCAACACAGGGTTCCTGGTTTTGCTGGAGCAAACTCACCTTCTAGTGGGTGTACTATCCCTGCTTGGAGCAGAAACAGTATCAGCTTTAGGAGGATGCTTCTTGGATGTGAAAATCATTTTAGGCATAGGAAAACAGAGACAAGCAAAGATGTTGCCATGCACTTGGAAGGTAGGAAGAGCATATGTACGTACAATTTGATTTTCTGGCAGATCTTGGCCAAAAATGGGAGTGAGCAAATATCAGAACCACCTTTGAGATATTTCTAGAGAGAGAGAGAAAAAACAGAATAAAAAGACAGTTAAGTTTGAGAAATGGTTTCCTATCTGAAAGTCCTTCTGCAGTCCAGATCTCTGGAGTTTCCTTCTAGAATCACTCCACTCCTCTCAGTTTACTCCCATTTCTTTCCCACAGTCCACACCGACCCCACCTCCCATGCCATGGTCCATGCTGGTCGCTCATCCTGCAGGTTCCCTCTTCCCGACACCCAGCCTCTGGCTGCCTTCCCACTTCCCTCTCTCGTTGCCTCTTCTCAGGACGGTCTGGCCTCACCTTGGCGGCTTCCACTCTGACCAGAGCATTCCTCTACCCAAGTGCTTGGAAAAAGGGGTTGAAAATGAAAAATAACTCTTTCAAATAAAACATTTCCATGCTCTGATGGGGCAAAATGAAGACTGAGGGAGAAATATGGTCAGGAACTTGGAGAGAAGGAAAGGTCCTTCTCAGTAGAGTGGAGAGGTGTGCAGAGAGATGGGTTTTAGACAATGGCTTTTCCTTTCTTTTTTTTTCTTTTTTCTGAGGGGTGGGGATTGGTTATTGAACCCACGGCCTTCACACTGAGCTGGATCCCCAGCCCTTTAAACATTTTTTAAAATTATGAGACATGCTCTTGTTAAGTTGCCCAAACTGGGGTGGAACTTGTGATCCTCCTGCCTCAGACTTCCGAGTGATGGGCTTCTAGGTGTGAACCACTATGCTCAGTTTAGACAGAGGTTTCTAGAAGAGTCCAAATGTGTGTTAAATGAAGACCTCTGGATTTTTACTAAGCAGTAGTTTTTAGAAAGACAGTGGTTTCCCTGATGCTCTCTTCAAATGAAAGAAAGAGAAAACAAAGTAGAAAAAGTTGGGAACCAGCAATTATCAGTGAAGGTCCTACCAACTTAAAGAGTCCTTCAGAGGGCTGTGAGCTAGCTGTATGTGTTGGGTATATTTTGACTCTAGTGAAGGGGAGGTGGCAACCTTATCAGAATATAAGTGAGGTATGTGAGGGTCTAAGAGACAGATGCTCGCACAGATTTCTAGGAGCAGAGGAGCAATCCTGACTAGGCATGGAGTCAAGGCATGGGGACAAAGGAGCTATCTTCATCCTGCCCACCAAGTTCAGGCTCTGAGTAGACATCCCAACTTGTGGATCCTCCTGCAGGGTCCATAGTGCCCGAGGCATTAGCAGGGCTCTCCAGGAACCTGGTAGGCCATGCGGATGTCCCGGACCTTAAGCAGGAATGAGGCAGGTGAGAAGCAAGGCACAGGCACCCCGAGGTTTGTAGCTCACAGAACAGCCCACAGTCTCACTAGAGATGCAGCCCTCTGCCCCCCAGACCCACTGGACCAGAACCACAGGGAGGCCCCGGCAGTCCGTCCTCTCATAGGCATTCAGTTCACTGTGGTGCTCTCTCCAGGCTCCTTCCAGGGCCTGCTGAGGCCTGAGATCCACTGCTCAAGGCATGACAGCAGACTGGGCACACTGGTGCCCCAGGAGCCTTTATTAGATGCAGAACCTAGAGCCTCTCCCACCTGCTGTGATGCCACTTGTCTGTCCCCAAGGTCCCCAAGTGCCCACTAATGCTGTGAAGCCTGATCCTGCTCATGGAGAAGGCTTGAAGGTGTCAGGCCGAGGAGTCACATTCATGTCTCAGAGGACATCTCCTGGAGTGGGAGGGAGGCTCGTGGCAGATAAGAGATGCTGAAGTCAGATCCCAGGGTTTGTGGGTGCAGCACTAGTGGCACTAAGGCTGAATAAACCAGTTGTGGGTGTGTGGCTTGTCCTTTTGCTGTGCTGTGTCCCCTACCCACTAGATGCCAGCAGCACACATCTGTCCCCAATGATCTCATGGGCTCACCCTCCTGTCTGTGGCCCATTGTCGCCACAATGTCATTATGTGACACCTGACTACATTAGTTTTTTGTGTTCTTGAATTTCATATGAATGGAATCATGCAGTTGATACTCTTTTATGCTTTATCTCTTTCATCTCCATGCTGTTGCAAATACCTGCAGTTCGTTCTTCTCATAGCTGTTCAGTATTCCATTGTGTGAAACACAGATTGAGAATATTGTCAGTTTTTGGCTATTATGAATAAAATTGTTATGAAAAATGCTTAAAACACCAAATCTGTCTCCAAACTTTGTCAAGTACCCTGTGGGTGAGGGACAAAACAGCCAGAGGTTGGGAACCTCTGTTGTAATGTGAGACAGGTACAGTTACTGGAAAGAAGGGGATCTGATGGAGGTCAGGACTGTAGTCACACAACAAAACAACGAAACAAACACTAGCTGAGATTATGCAGAACATCGGCGGCATTTTGCAGTATGGAGACAATCTCAGACCCAGAGTCCAAAGTCAGCTTGCATTTGGATGTTTGAGCTCCTTCTTTTAATACTCACTTCAGTCTGAAGGTCTCAGTCTAATTATCATAACGACAATGTAGATTTGAACACTGATGATCACCAACACACACCCAAATTTATATGACCAGTCTTGTAATTACTACACAAGAGGCACAATAGGATAAAATTTTATAACTGCACAGCTGATCACCCTCAAAATCCATCCTAAGGCTGCAGCTGTGTCTGATATTCATTGTGCAGAAATCAGGGTTAGGGATTAGGTGATACATGATGTGGCTTGTCCACAGATGCCACAGAAAGCCTGCTGTTTAGACAGAGGTTTTGATTATCGGATCTCTTTTCATCACAGAGAATGGGAGGGACATTTGTCCCCAAGCTGTGCTTCTACCTTGAGACAATTTACTTGCAAAGAAAACTAAGATGGACCCAGAAAAACACTGCAGACGTTCTTGTTTTTTAGTCCCCTCCATTCAGTTTGAACTTTGCTAGACAGGGACAGAAATACGAGCTGTTATCAACTCAGAACTAGGTTTAAAATATTGCCTGTGGCTGCATCTGGTCCCATCTAAAGGAGAGTCTCAAATTTGGGGTGTCCCTGGAGACAGGAGTCAAGCAGCATGTTCAGTTTGCAATCTATTCGACCTGAGTCTACTTGTCTCCTGAGCTGTCCCCCATACCACGGTGTTAAGTGAAGGCAGAATAACAAGTGCAAGAGGAATAGAGGAAATTGTGGTGAATGGCATAAATAGAAGGGCAAAGGGTGAGAGTCAACACCTTTCTGCATGCAGCTAAGCTGAAATTGAGTTTCGGCATTGCGAAGTGCTTTTCAACCCTTTTTGTGTGTTGCACAGCCTGGTTTTAATCTGTCTGGGCTGGGTTTGGACTTCAGCCATTTTTAAAGTCTTCTTGGATGATGCCACTAAGCAGGTAAAGTTGTGACCAGGGCCTTGATGTTCAGCTGCACAGGCCTTCCCCATTACCCCTTTATCAACATAGCTTGGGATATAAACGGTGCCCTCGAGTTCAGCGCTGGGCAGGCTTGGCTGTGGAGCTACTGGCATTGAAGAGAGGCCTGGAAATAGCTGACTCTGGACTTCAATGATGGGTTTCTGACTTACTAGCTCTGTGGAGTGAGAAAATTACTGAGCTTCAGTCCTCTCATCTGTACAGCAAAACTCCTCTATCTGCTTTGTAGTGGTGAAAATTAAATAAAGTTGATTCTGTAACTCAGGTGCTGTGTAACCTGGAGATGTGGTGCTCCCTAAATCCATGCAAAGTTCCCAGGAGATGCAGAACATTTCTGGGGCATTGGCTTCCCTTCCGAAACACATGACTTTTCTCCAGTCTGGATCACAGCCTGACACGCTGTGCTGGGAAACCTACTATGTGTTGCTTTCTGTCCTGACTACATCCTCAGTTCCATCAGCCATCGCAGTAGAATTAATTGCAGTTGATATTCTCTGAGCAGTTTTTCCAGAGATGCTCATTGTTTGCATTTTGTGATTAAATTTTTTCCTTGATAGTTTTAATCCTGAGAGTAAATAAACTGGGCTGTTTTTAAAAGCTTGTTGAATTTTCCATAGAATTTCTTTTGGCTTCTTACAAGTAGTTATTGGAATCCTGCCCCTAGAATTATGCTTTCAATTGCGGTGACAGAAATTTTTAAAATGTAAAATCCTAATTAGCCTTCGAGTTAATGCCAAGGCAGTTTGTGCTAACCAATAAACAATGGCCTGAAAATAAGTTTCTAGACCCACATTGAGAAAAATAAAAGACACATTCTGTTTTTCTCTAATTCTGCTCCAAGTTGTAAAGGTGGCAGTCCCAGGTTTCTGGTGGTGTTTCAATTTCTTATCCAACAATTTAAGCAGATTAGCTGAACTGGCTACTGCCAGCCTTTAATTAGTCACTGAATTAAATAATGATCAGAGAAGCAGACATTGTGATTGATTAATCAATTATGTAGAATGCTGGCATGTTGCTATTTAACATGGACCAGCCTTGTACATCAAAACTCCCATGACTTTTGTGCATAGGATTTCCGATAAAAATACTGTGCTGGACATACTTACACTAAAAACATTTATCCATTGGTTCTCTAAATTTAACTGGACATCCTGTGTTTTTATTTGCTAAATCTGGTAAGCCATGGCCTAAGTGATTTTCCTTCCTGTTTTTCATGTGGCTCAATCGATAACACCTTCAATGCCTTGCATCAGGGTGAGCAGGGAGGGAAGCTTGTGGGGAAGTCAAGGACAAGGTCAGCACCCTCTCACTGGGGATGGATGCGTACTTCCTGCCAGGGTCTCCAGTGTCAAGGATGGTATTAGGCTTTAAGAGTCTGCGTTTCTGCTTCCTTATCAGCCGGGGGTGATTTTGCCACCAGAACCCAGGTTAAATACCTAACTCTGTGATGACTAGAAATGTCATTGCAAGGATGACAAATTAGGGAGATGAATAGTGATGCCGTTAGGGTTTACTGAGTACTTGGTAAGCCAAGGCCAGATAGCAGGTGCTTTGCATACAGGAACTGTGCTAGCACCACCCAGGAGAGGGAAACTGAGGCTTAGCAAAGTCGAGCACCAAGTCACGTTTGTAGGAAGTGGAGGGGCAGGAGGACACAGACTCCTCCAGAACACTCTGCTGGTGAGGAATGTTCTCACTGGGGTGATTTTACCCTTCAGAGGCCATGTGGCAATGCCAAGAGACATTTCTGGCCATCACAGCTAGGGAGGGTGAATGGCACTGCTAGTGTTGAATGGCTAGAGGACAGGGTCACTGCTGGGGACCACAAAGCATTCCCTACAACAGGATTATCTAGCCCTGAATGTCAGTGGTGCCGAGGTGGAAACGCCCCTGAAGGGAGAAGGCAGGAGGAAATTGTGAAAAGGCATGCATGTTTCCACTTTAGTTGCCACGAAACTAGGGCACTGGGTGGATGGACTTGTATCCAAAGCAGCCCCAAGGCTTTGGGGTATAGGGCTAGGGCTAGGGAGCAGAAAGCTTGCCCAGAGAAAGGCTGGCATTCCACCTAATGATCACTTACCATGTTCTCGGACTTCTTGACAGTGTGTTTTGCCTTCTCTTGTCTCAATTTCCATGCCTCCTAGAAAAGCAAAGTTAGACAATATCATAACTTGTGTCCTATGTTTTCTATGTTTTTTCTAAAGTGAAAAGTTTTATGTCTTTATGTTTGAAATAAATGGATTACCCAAAAATTTGTGATAAAGTAATTCACGAGGCTATTTTATGTTACTATATGGATGTGATAAAAACTATAGTCAATGTTTAAATTTTAAAAATTTATTACAGTGAAAGACGTGTTGCTATGAATCGCCCTCAAAATACTCCCCTTTGCTTCAAACACACTAGTCTCACCACTCTGGCTACTTTCTGAAGCAGTTCTGGAAGCACTGTACTCTTTCCTGAGTGTCTTTAGTTGCACCGTTGTGAATTGATTCAAAACATTTATAGCAACTTATGCCAAAAAAGACATGATAGTGTGTCCTCATCTTCCTTATCCACTGGCTCTGACACTGTGTGACTCTGGCTCTTCCTTAAAATCAAAGTGATTACAAATGGCCAACTTTTTCAGTGGATTCAGGACATTGAGGCAGTCATGACTCCAGAAAGAGGACTTTCAGAACTGCTTCAGAAAGTGGCCAGCATGGTGGGATAAGTGTTTAAATTAAGGGGGAATTTTGAGGGGACTAATGGCAATATGTCTTCAACTGTAATAGATTTTTAAACTTCCAATTTAAATGTTTATTGTATATTTTGGTCACAGCGTATATTTGGTACTTTTATTAAGGAGACTCTGTCCCAGTTGCTGTGGGAGGAACTTTGCAAGCATTATCTTACTTCATCTTCACAAAGGTTCCCAGAGATAGGACCGTCTCCTAGGTGAGATGTAGAAAAGGTAGGAAACCGCTCAAGGTCACATTCTTGGAGATGTGGATGCTGTCTGGACCCTGAAGCACTGGGGAGAGAGTGGACTTTGGGAAGAAATGAGCACAGCTGACAAGGAGGTGGCCTAGGGCAGTGACTCTCCACATGGGGGTCTGCATGGAGATTCCTAGAGCCCAATCCCGAGTTCCTGGGCAGAACCTGTGGAAGTCAAGTAAAAGGAATCTGCATTTCTAATCAGGAGCCTGGGTGAACTTAGGGAATTATGTGGTGAGGATTAAGATCTGGGTGATGGGGTCAGGCAGAGGAAGAGAAGGCCAGGCATTGCCCCTCCCATGCCCAGTGCCCTGTGCAAAGCTCAGCTAGTCAGTATCAGCTGCCACAAAGAGAATTCCCAACATTTCGGACTGGTAAGAACCTCAGATTCGCTCACGGGACGGGTGGATTCAGCATTCACAGGGGACAAGGGGTGGGTGTGGTAGTGTGTGCCTGTGATCTCAGCACTCTGGAACCTGAGGCAGGAGCATGGCACCTTTAAGCCCGACCTGGATGACTTGGTGACTTAGTGAACCTCTGTCTTAAAATAAAAAATAAAAAAGTGCTGGGGATGTAGCTCAGTGAGAAGGCTCTGGGTTCATTTCCCAATACTGAAATAATCAATCAATCAATCAAAAGCCCCACCAGCTGGAGGCTGTCAACAGCTTACCAGAGTCTGTGCCTGGCACTAAAGAGCCACAATCACTGGCATCACAAGCTCCCGCCTCCCTCTCCTCTGGTTCAGTATCCTCTGTCCTCTTCCAGACATTTCCAGAGCATCTGAGAGCATCCAAGTCACCCCCCAGTACCCGTACTTGCAAGTCTAGAGCTGGCTCATTATTAGCAATAATTATTGTCATGCAAAACCCTGAGGACCCCTGTTTGTGTTTGCATGGTTGGGAGAAAAAGAGCACTAGGATTGGAGGTGGGGTGTGGGGAGGGTTTGCCCACAGGGCTGCTTCCCAGAGCTTTGATCCCTGCTCTGCATACCCCAGCCCTGCCACCCCTCTGTGCCTGCTCCCTGTGCAGCTGGAAACAAGCCCCTGCCTAGTCATCCATGGATTAATTGGAAAGCTCTGTCTCCACCCTTGCTTCCCCTGCCCCAGAATCAGCAGGGAAGCCGGGATCTGGGAGAGTTCTGGAGTTCTCTCTCTGTCCGGGTCACTGAGAACACTGTCCATGTACATGAGAAGTAAAATGGATGTGGGAAGGGACTTCTGCAGTGAGGTTGAGTGAGAGAAGGCCCCCTGGGAAATGCTGATCTCTGATGCTGGTGGATGCTGGGGATTCAGGTTCCCTCTTAACCCTGGTCTGTTCCTCACCAGAAGTGCCTGTCTCCACTTTGGGGCTGTGTGGTGCTCTGAGAACACCAGGCACATGAGTGAGCGTGTGCAGGAAGTGACCACCAGCTTCTGGAAAGGGGCTTTCCAGGCTCAGAAACGGTCTCTCTGGTGTCAGGCCCAATCACATGCCTTGGCTCAAGATCAAAGGACAGCAAATTGTGTCCCTGAGGTCAAAGGCAGTGGGTCAGCAGATAGTGCGTGGGAATGACTGAGGAAAGGACACCAAGGACACCTTCTCAGGTGGGGCTGGATGCCAGGTATAGGCCTGCCTCTCAGGACACCGACACCCTGCCGTGCTGCTAGGGACAACTGTGTCCCTGAGCTTCCAGGTGTCTCTCCTTTCCACTGCCCTGGCTGCTGCTCAGTCTCTTCCTCTTCCTATGGTGTCTACCCTTCTTGGGATGGGTCACCTGAGAGGTCAGTTCGATGGTGCCACACAGCAGACACCTCTAGGTTGTGCTCCAAGCCTCCCAGAGTCCACCCCATCAGTAGGGACAGAAGATGACCATCCTCACTTTTAAACAATGGGTGTCTTTAATAAGAAGATTGCTTAGGGAGTGGCCCTGATTCAAAAACTACCCTTATTGAACTACTTTTGGCTTTCCCGGGAAATTCGGGCTAAGCCTTGAAGTCCCCCAAAGTATAAAGTCAGCACATCTGCCATGGCTGGGATAATGGACACCAGGTCTGAATGCTGACTTCTCTGGCTAGCCTTCTTAGCCTCATGTTCACTCTCCATGTATGGATTTTGTTGTTGTTGTTGTTGTTGTTGTTGTTTGGTAGTACTGGGGATTGAACCCCGGGCCTGAGCACTGAGCTACATCCCCAGCCATTCTCTCTCTCTCTCTCTCTCTCTCTCTCTCTCTCTCTCTCTCTCTCTCTCTCTCTCAACAGGATCTGACTAAGTTGCTAAGTTGCCCAGGCTGGTCTTGAACTTGTGCTCCTCCTGCTTCAGCCTCCCAGAGTGCTAGGATTACATGCATGCAGCACCATGTCTGGCTCACATACAGAATCTTGAAGGCAGTATTTACAGCCTTCCTTATGAGCTCCTGCTTTTCTGTCTTGGAAAGATTCCCTTGGATTGAAATTCCCCATTTAAACATCTACAGGGCCCAACACAGTCTCTGATGTACAGTAGCTGCTCAATAGATAAGACAAAAAGAAGGAAAACATTTATGATATTATGTTAAGCAAGAAAAACAGGCTTCCAGATTTTACATACACAGAACAAAACCTGCGAAGCAGCACACCATGTTAGTGTTTGGGTGATAGCTTTTTCCTTGTTCTTTTCTGTGCTTTCCAAATTTTCAAGAATGAGCACCAATTCAGAAACAAATGCTTTCTAAAAAGAGCTCAATCCATGAGGTCTTGTTTCTTATTAAAGAGGAGAATGGTGTGCTCTGAGCATGTAAGTGCCGGTGAGGGCCTGGAGGTGGAGTGAAAGGCACCAGCGTCCCTGCCTTCTGGAAGCATCCAGTCTGGCCAGAGCCTGGCCTTGAACATGGACACCAAACTGAAGTGAAAGGAGGCAAGAGAGGACCTTGGTGATAGCTTCCTTGTAGAGGCACCTGGATCTCTTTGAAAGAACCACTGTGATTTTATCCCAGCTCCAACTCGGGCTCAGTGATTGTTGAAGGATGAAGACAAAGTATAACAAGATGATGGGGGTCCGTGGCCCACCCTTGGTGCCAGGTTGCTTCCATGGCTTTCTAGGAGGCTGTGCTCCAGGTTCATGGGGCATTGGAGCCTGTCGGGGAGACAGTGGGGAGCAGGGCTTGGGCAGCAGGGAAACACATAGACCTTTCCAAGGACAGACTTGGAGATCCAAGAGTAGGAACTAAGTCCTGAACCAGAGAGGGACCAAACCCACCCATTTATCCAGTATCCCTGGCACATTCCAGTTACATTGTCCAGTAGGACAATCTGCATTTCTGCAGGAAACCAGAGAAGGGGAGGATCTCACACTGGACCATTGCTGCAAGATGCACCTAGAATATCAACCGAGTGGAGCCAAGAGGGGTAGCCAGGTTTCCAGCACATTCATGGGGAGGGAAGAGGAGGGCCGGGCTGGAATCCCCAATACTTCTAATGAGGCAGGAGGGAGGGACAGAAATCCCTGGAAGGAGGGAGCCTGAAGGGCAGTGGGAGAAAAGAGGAAGCTGGTTGTCTAAAAATCACGAGTGCTGGATTCTGACAGCCGGGCCAGAGCTGGGAATGACAAGAGGAGCCTGTGCGGCTGTTACTGGATTGCCTGGGTCGTGCCCCAGTGGAGACAAAGAATGAAACCATGGATAAAGGAGGCACGGTACAAGCAAATTTATTTAAAAGATATAAAGGCAAGAAAGTAGAGCTCCCACTAGCTGGGAGGGGTCCTGAGTAGGATTCTCAGGCAGGCTCTCTGTTTGGGTGTTAGTTTATAAGGGTTGTGGAAGGCAGCTCAGACTGTTGTGTAAGCAATATCATCTCTAAACTATAGAAGATTACATATTTTTTTAGGGTCCCATCCATGCAGTGTTTATGCAGGGTCCATGTGCCCTTAAGCCAGTGCCTTGTTCATCATGCTCTGGTCACGCTTTGGGGAAGTCTCTGACAGCCAAAGAACACCTGGCAGATGTTTTTTGTAAGATTCCTGGAGGGCTGTGACTCAGCAGACTCTATTTCAGGCTTCCTGACTATTTCTGGGCTGCTGTCATTACTGCCTAATCAAATCCTAAGTCCTCTTTCACTAATTTCTGTTACACTATAGGCCTGGGGATACATGCAGTATGTGTCCCAAAGTGATCCCAACTCAGGTATAATTAATTATAATCTCATTTACATT